GGGCAGCAAAATGTGGACTTGTGCCTGGTTATATTTCAAATTCTAGCTTGAGCAAGGCTCTGTAGGCTTTCCAAAGTCCTAGATTATTCTAACTTTTCTGTGAGCCTTGTAGCATTGGTCAGATGCACAGACATGTGAGAACTGGTTCCGATGGCCCTTGCTCAGCTTGGGCTCTTTGATGTACACAGGAAAAGAAGAGAGAGGCATGGAGGCCTGACCCGAATGTTTTTTTTTCCTTAGATTCTTTTATTGGTACTTTTTAGGTATACAATACATTTACATTTATCATTGGGTGCTTGTACCTGTACATGATGTATCTTGGTTCTTATTTTTTCCCCATTTCCTGTCCTCCCTTCACCCCCTCCACCCTTCCCTATTTACAGACTTTGTTTCCATGTTTTTCTTTTCTCATACGTTTTCCTTTCCCTCCTTTCCTTTCCCCTTCCTCTCCCACTGTCTCTACCCCTTTGGACCTTTTCTTCTTATTTCCCACTATCAATTATTGATTTTAATCATTATTTACACTTTCAGTTTCTCACAGTAGAGAAACTATTTGGTATTTACACATGTGTGTCCTACTTATTTCACTTAAAGAATATCACCTCAAGGGCCAGGGATTTAGCTCAGTAGTTTCATCTCCTGCTAAGAGTATGGCCTCAATATGCATCCATTTAGCTGTAAATGTCTCTAGTTTCTCTTTCTTTATGGCTGAGTAGTACTCCATTTTATTTTAAAAAACCACATCTTCTTTATCCAGTTTCTAGTTGATGGGCATGTGGGCTGTTTCCAAGCTTTAGGTATTACAAACTGTGCCACTATAAACTTCGGTACACATATATCTCTGTGGTATGATTCTTTTAATTCTTTTGGGAAGATACCCAGCAGGAGAATAGCTGGGTCAAATGGGACTTCTAGTCCTAGTTCTTTGAGGTATCTCCATACTGATTTCCACAGTGGGTGCACGAGTCTGCACCCCCACCAACAATGGAATAGGGTTCCTTTCTCCTCACACCCCCACCAGCATTTGTTATTGGTTGATTTCTTGATAGCAGCCATTCTTTCTGGGGTGAGGTAGAATCTCACTGTTGTTTTCATTTGCATCTCTCGAATGACCAGTGATGTTGAACATTTTTTCATATGTTTATTTGCTGCTTTTACTTCTTTGTCTAAGAAGTTGTTGTTCATTTCAGATGACCATTTTTGAATTGGGTCTTTAAATTTAGGGGGTCTGATTTTTTTAAATTCTTTGTATATTCTAGATAGTAGTCCTTTGTCTGAGGTTCTGCTGCTAAAAATTTTTTCCCACATTGTCGGTCATCTCTTAGCTCTGTTGGTGGTTTCTCTTGCAGTGCAGAAGCTTTTTAATAAGATGAGATCCTAGTTGTTGACTCTTTCTGCTAGTTCCTGTGCTACTGAGGTTTTGTTCATAAAGTCTTTTCCTATGCCAATCTGACCCGACGTTTGAGACACTGTGAGCAAGAGTATGAATGAAAACTCCCATGAAATGTGTCTAAACATTTAAAAGTTCTAAGCTAGTAAAACTTAAATGGAATATCTTCTATCCTTCTACTTTGAGAAGACCTGGAAGGCCAGATTCAAATGCAGAATTTAGCACTGGTGGGAATTCCGCCCCTGAATATGGTGACAGGAGCATAGCTGGCCCCCGATCTGTCTCCTTCTCTTCTCCTGCGTGGCTGCATGGTGCTCTCAGTACAGGGCCTCGAGCTGTGTATGTGAACATTGCACCACGTGCCCGAGCCTGACCATGGCTCTTGAAATGACAGTTTCTTGACCACCTTCTGTTCTCTGGGATGTACAGCACCAGCCACTGAATCTGCCCTTGGGTGGGTGACCCAGAGAAGCCACCCATGCAAGCCCTGGAAATGAGCTCAGTGCTGATTGGGGAGAGAACTCCAGAACCCTAGGAGTATGGTGACCTCAAGGATTCCTCACATTGGTCAGGGGGGACCCCTTTTAAGAGGAAAAGAGTAGGCCCTCTAAGTGGAGCCCCTATAGAGAATCCCCTCATGGTGGAGTCTGAGGGTCCCAGTGGAAATGTACAGAGCCCTGTTCTCACCATCACTCACCTCCCTCCCATCCCTCCTCTGTATCCCAGCAGCCAGATGACAGAGGTCCTCATGTGCATCTTTCAGTCTGTAAATCACAGATAGTTATCCTTGATCCGACATCTCTTTTAGGACCACAGACAGAGAGAAGCAAAAATATCCCAAATTCACACTGAGTTGTTGCCCTTCACATATTTTATCAGCCATGGAAATGTCAGAGACTTAGGTTTCAATACTCTGACTCCGAGGTGACTGAGTTGGGCTCAAGGTCAACCCCAGAATCCAGAGCACATTCTCAGACTGTCCTCTCTCTGACTAGACCACAAGCTATCTTGGGTACTTGATATATTAGGCAGGGCAAAGGCTTTGAATTTCAAGACATCCCAAGGACTTTTACTTTAAGAATTTGAAATGCAGGCTCACAACCACACTGTCTTCTTAACAAAGTAGTACCTTTAAAATATTTAACAACTTGAAAAGGAAACCGAGCTTGAATTTTCCTTTCAGGCACTAAGGAAATAGTGTTTCACTTCTGTCTGAAATTCACCATCTCCACAGACAAAGAAAGCTCTTATGGTAAAAGCAATGGCATTTTCTCCACAATTTTCAAATAAAAGATAAAGAGAAAACAGCATTGCAGCCTTTTTGTTAGGTCCTAACAATAAAGGAATAATATGGTTTTGCAAGGGGAGAGCTATGGTTAGAATACAAAAATAGGCTGACAAATCTTACAAAGGAATTTTCTCAACTACCACTGAGGCCAGCAGGAAGTGAAGTCCCAAGAAAATTATATCATTTGATTATTTGGAGATTTCATGATGCTGATCAGGCTGGTAGGTGAGTCCTATGTGAAACTCTAAAGCAGAAGAAATGAGAGGTCACCTTTTCTGCCCATATCTGCCTCTCCCTCTCTTTATGGTCAAACCTGACCTTTGGGAAAGGTATAGGGGCCATTGCAACTTGTACGGTAGCTCCGCATGCCTGGAATGTCCTTCCACAAGGTCCAGCCTCTTTGCTCAATTTCCTAGAGTTCCTTCCAGCTATTTCCTAGAAACCTTCCACATGCTGCCCACCCTTTCAGTAATAGCATCCCACTATTATACTCACTGTTACTGGTTTATAATTGTTTTTACATTTCTGCTGGACTATACTCAGTGAGAGCAGAAACCATGTATATTTTCTTTAATGTTTCCTTCTCTACCATGATCCCTGTGCTTGGCACATAACATGTCTAATTGAAAAAATGAATGAGTGGATTAATGAATGGGAACTGAAGCCACTATGTTGCTACTCCCAGGATATTTGAATTAACTGTAGTTTAAGAATAAAAAGCATTTATCCCTCCTATAGGAGTTATAAACTTAATGGGAGACTATTCGGAAGAATAAGCACTATAATACATTTTTGGTGGTTGCCTACACTAATGTAGTCAGGTTTTCCTAGGGTGTGGTAATGAATTATGATAAAGACTTACCAGAAAAAAAGGAATACATATAAACCACAGCAGTAGCTACCTGTTCGTATTTATATGTGTTAGTTCCAATGTCAAATGCTAATCAGGCATTATTACCATTAATCATCTTTTTAGATTAGGAAATCAAAACTTGGGTATTCAAACAGCCTAATTCACATAGTTAGGGAAAGTATTAGGATTTGAACCCAGATTTGTTTGACCAAAATCAGAAAACTATTTCAGCCAGTCTCCTATTAACTGGAAGTCCATTGAGGCAGCCTAGGATACAATAGTAGAGGCAGAAAGCCTGTGGAGCTGAGGCCATTCATTGTATCCCTGATCTGGTCCCTCTTGCCACCTGCTTCTTGTCCAGCAGCCTCCACCCATTAGGGGCCTCCTGTCCTTCATCCTAAAGGGAGATGACCCATCATAGTTTTCAGGTTCCATGTGGTATGGAGCACCCCAGTCCTGGAGAGATCTCACCAAGACCATAGCTACATTGTTACGATTAGATCAGGCTAGTAATGAGTGATAAACGATGGAGAAAAACAATAATAGTGGGTTAAACAAAATAAATGTTTGTTCTTCTCACACTTGGAAATCTAGAGTTAGAGTTCAAAGCTAGTCTGGTGGCTCTGGGTTTCTGGGATCCAGATTTTTCTTTCTTGTTTTTCCACAGTACATGGCTTCTGTGTCTAAGACCACCTGGTTGAAATCCTAGCTGAATAATGTCTTTATTCAAGGGAGCCACATGCCCAGCTAAAAGTCTGAATTCAGTAACAACAAGGAAAACAGTTATACTCTGCCTCAATACCTTATCTGTGGCTACCTTAGTCCAGGGTGTCTGTGGCCAGTTGGGAGCTGGAGGGGCTGTGGTCATCCTTATAAAGAAAGGCCCAATTGGGCCAGGGATTTAGTTCAGTGGCACCATGCCTGCCTTGCAAGTTCAAGGTCCTGAGTTCAATCCCTGCTACCAGAAAAAAAAGGAAAAAAGAAAGAAATAAGAAAGAAAGAAAGAAAGAAAGAAAGAAAGAAAGAAAGAAAGAAAGACAGAAAAAGAAAGGCCCAAGCCTCTAATCAGGGACTATATGGCTGGCATTTATCCTGCATCACCTGTGAAGTACAGAGAAATTTGTTCTCTTGAAGCCACGTCACAGCAGTGGGTGCTTAACAGCCTGCTTCTGCTGTTGTATTTTTAAGGAGCCCAGCAATTTAAACTTCAGTTTTTGTAAGATCAACTTGATTCTAGTCACCCTACTCACCTCCCACCCAATCTTCCTCATTCAGAGCCATAACCCAAGCACTAGCACTCATAGAAATCAGGCTCATGATGGCACATTTACAATAATATATTTTTGCAGAAGCAAGCAAATGAGAGTTATGGTAAACGATTTTCTTTGGTTTGTTCATTGACCCTCCTTCCTGTCCCCTACAATCAAGAAATATTTGTCCCAACATATTGTTTGTTCCTTCTGTTGCAGGCTCCTGCGGCTGTCTTGTCATGATTTTGTTTGCCTCTGAAGTGAAAATCCACCACCTCTCAGAAAAAATTGCGAATTATAAAGAAGGGACTTATGCATACAAAACACAAAATGAAAAATACACCACCTCCTTCTGGGTTGTTTTCATTTGCTTTTTTGTTCATTTTCTGAATGGGCTTCTAATACGACTTGCTGGATTTCAGTTCCCTTTTGTAAAATCTAAAGATACAGAGACAACAAATGTAGCTGAAGATTTAATGTATTGAGTTTTTCCCTTTTTTTCTTTTGGTACCAGGGATCAAACTTGGGTCCTTGCGCTTGCACAGGAGGCAGCAAAACCACTGAGCTAAATCCCCAGCCCAGATTTAATGTATTGAAGAGCAATCATCCTGTCATATTCCAAGTAAGGAAGTGGGCTTGCTTTGGTCACTCTACTATAGGTAATTTTACCCATCCTTTTAGATTGCATAAATCACCCAAACCCTCCATGACAATGTTTACAAAGTATGAACTAAGGATATAGGCTGGCAAGTAAGAGAAGCAGAAGGAAGCCTTTGGAAAGTTGTTTTTCCTGGTGGGAAGGTGCTTAACCCAGGTAGTCAAAACAGTTGCCTAGAATGGACAAACCATTATTCCATATAGATATCAAAGTACAAGATGCCAGCCAGGTATGGTGGTGCACACCTGTAATCCCAACACTTGGGAAACAGAGGCAGGTGGATTGCAAGTTCAAGACCAGCCTGAGCTACTTAGCAATTCAAGACCAGCCTGAACTACACGGCAAGATTCTGTCTCAAAAAACAACAACAAAAAACCCCACCAAGATACCTGCTCCATCACCCATTGGTAGGCACAATATATGCTAATAGAGATAAATACTCTATATCCATGTATTTGTTGCCACAGATATCATAAAACAGACTTGGAACTGCTTTTCTAAAATGTTGGTACATTAGATGAATTGTAAAATATATTAATTTACTTTTTTTTAATGTTTGTTTAAAGCATAGTCTTATCAACTATCCTTTGGTCAAAATTTGCAAACCTCTGAAAGCAAGTAACAAAGTGAAAGATATTTTCTCTCCTGTATTTGAGTCCTAACTACATTCACAATGGTACTTTTCAATGGAAGTAATTGTTGGAATTACGATGGATGATCCCTATGGTAAATGTAATATAAAAAGACTCATTGGGGCAGTGCTTCTAGCTGAAGTGTCATGAGAACTAACTCTCAATTATAAAAAGTATATTTATCCCAGATTTTAATGATATCTTCGTGTCATCTTGGGTGGACAGTCACAAAGCACCACCTAAGGCATTTTTTTCCCTGAATTATCTTGAATTTGATTTGCAGTTGGACAAAGGCCACAACCTAGTCTGGCACTGACCCTTCCTCATTCTCAGTCTGCCCTCAAGAGAGCACTCAGGAAAAAGCAGAAAAGGAGAACACACCATTCACCAGGCCCAGCCACAGGTGCTGTGTATGGAGAACTGCCAGGTCCTAGCCCTAATGCCCAGCACAGGGAACACACTGGTGCTCTTGGCCAAAAGTGCTGGCTACTTAAAGACCCTCATAGAAGGGGTTTGGAGGTGCTCATTAAAACAAAATACCTTTTTCCTTTGGAACAATTTGGAAGGAAGAAAACAACTGATTGTAGACCTGCTGAGTGACTAGCTGTGGCAGCAGATTGCGGTTCATGGGCAGCCATCAAAACACACTGATGTCTCCGAGGGCGCTTCCCTACACCTTATGCAGGACACCTGTGACTGTCTAGAAGCCTACAAGTCAGTCTGGCCATGGTGGGAGATGTTTGTTTTGATGACAGGCATCAGCCTGACATGGTATCCAGGTCCACAAGCCTCGAGCTGAAATGGTGGACCTCCAAGCTCTGGTGATTGGTGTGGGTAGGAGGCAGCAGGTCACCCAGCAGCAAGGCAAGGATCCTTGGGTCAAAGGCCAGTTTCTCTCCTCACCCTAGCTCTCCTGTGACCTCTCTTTTTTCCTCAGAGGCTTGGAAAACTTCGAACAGCAACTTTCCTCTGTGGAAAACAAGTTTCTGACTATGCTCTGTTCTGTACAAAGAGAAAGAGAACTTGGAGCAGTTGCTGAAAATCTAATTTGACCTAGAGGCAGACTAATAATATTCCCGCCATGCAAGTAGAGTTGAGGCTGTCACTGATATCCCAATGGCCCTGAAGATTGTGCTGAATACAAAACCACAATGGTTCCTGCCCTCTTCTCACAGATGAAATGCTCTGGGGCCATTGGAGCAGAGATCTGGTCAGGGTCTGCTCCATGGCTCTCTCAGGGGGATCAGAAGCCCAGGAATAGCATTCATTTTGTGCTGATCAGCATCTCTCCCTGGTGGCAGCAGCATTCTCACATGGACACAGGGCCCCCTGCTGGTTCTAGGGCGGGCAAGCATCATGCTATGGTAGGGCCCCCATTTCATTGTCTTGAGACACCCAAATAGCAGTGCTTGTGATGCTATGTGAAAGAAGAGTCTGAATGCTGCTCAGTTCTTGCAGGAGGACCTTGCCATGGCAACCTATGTTCCTGGGGTCAGGAGGAAGGTGAAGAACTAAGAAGGTACAAGTGCAGACAATGTGCCTTAGGGTCAGGGTGAGCAGCACCCCACCTTTTGGGTACCTTGAGTTCTCAGCAGTCTTGTGATCTGGTCCCATCTGCTCTTCAGGGAAGTAGCTTGACCCTCACCTGGCAGGTGTTCAGAAGTGATCACTTTGGCTGCTGACCCATACATTTACACAATTCTACAGTGACCAAGGCAGGGTGAGGCAGAAAGGGAGGGGAAAGAGACAGCCTCTCCCAACTCCGGTGAGGAAGGAGGGGTACGCACTGGAACATAAGGGTACCCCAGCTCCAAGGTAGGCATAGGACGGTAATCCCACCATTTACCTGGAGAAAACTGAGCTGGAACCAATGGGGAAGGGAGGCCTGGAAGATAGAAAGTAGTAGAGAGGTGCTGGGTTTGACCTATTTTCCTCAGTGAGAGACAGTATAGCTAAAAAACAAATTCAGCTGTTATAGAAATGCTGCCTCAAGACCCATCCCAATCCTTGACCCATTTTGCTAACTGCCTGCCACCCCGTCCTTTTCTTTTGATACTTTTACCCATGCACAAAAATGTATCTGAGTAAATTCAGAGGAGGATTCCAGCAGACATTTTCTGTACTATTCCGGTGGTCAGTGTTTGACCTAGTGATGCCTCTGTTCTCATTCCTCTTCAACATGACAATTGGTCGAGATTCAAGGCTGATGGCTGATGTGCCACCTCCCCCAAGTGACAAGGGACAGAGCAATGCTAGTCAGTTGAGAGAATAGGGTACCCATTCCTTAATGCTAAATGGCAGAGAGAAAAACTGCAGGATGTGAGCCTTGTGTTCTGGGCTGAGATTCTCCCTTAGGAAAAGTCCTCTTGTTCATGAAAACATGGATGTAAAATGAATTAAATAAAATTTTGATGTACAGACTTTGTTGGTATTCCCCTCTTAGATAACCAGCACACTAGTCATGCCGAACACGCCGAATCAGCCCGCTGCACACAGGCGGGGTCTGCGCACACCCTACCGAGGTTGCGAATCGCCCAGAACACGCCGAATCAGCCTGAGCCCCGGCAACAATCCACTGGACCGCCACCCCTCCTCTGTACAGCCACCTGGTACCACACTACAAAGACGCAGAGGACACCTGACCACCAGACCACGGTACTGAGTCCCGCCACTCCCGGCCCAGAGGTAGGGGCTTCTGAGCCTTCGTCCCACTGCTCCTGGTCCACAGGAAGGGACTTCCTGGTCACCATCCCTCCCGCTGCTCCCA